AATCCCCATCATTGGAGATTTTTAAGAGCAGTTTAGACAAAGACCTGTCAGGGATGGCCTAGATAATACTTAGTCCTGCTATGAGCACAGGGGTCTGGACTCAATGACCTCTAGAAGTCTCTTCCAGTCCTACAATTCTCCCAGAGGAACAAACAAGGGGCCCCAGAATCCAGGGATCTCCATAGTTAGGCACAGATCTCAGTGATCCACTGGTAGCTAGGCCCACCCACCCACAATCTCTGGGCCTCCACACCTGCTCTAGGACCCTCTCCAGCTCTCTGCTAGCACAGGTTCATTAGAGATGTGCTACCAGGGCCTGTCACAATAGCCACTTCCCACAGGATCTGCTGAAGCGGCCTTCTTCAGGGTGGAGGAGGTTGCACAGAGATGGGAAGGCTGGTTAGAGTAGCTGATGGACACAATACCTCAGCTATGGCCTGGCAGGGAGCTTTTGACCTTTCCATAATCAGAGTTCAGCCATAGACTCCACAAGTGAAACTTTCATTTGCGTTACGAGGATGAGGCAGATAAAAACCTCCAATTTCTCTTGGGGATCCAGGTAGTTGCAGCTGAGCAGCATCATGGCATAAGAACATAAGAACTAAGAACGGCCATACCGGGACAGTCCAAAGTCCATCTAGCCCAGTTTCTTGTGTTTTTACAGTGGCCAGTGCCAGGTGCCCCCAGAGGGAATGAACAGAACAGGTCATCATCAAGTGATCCATCCCCTGTCAACAATTCTCAGCTTCTGACAGAAAGCAGCTAGGGACACTAGCCCAAACTGGCTAATAGCCATTGATGGACCTATCCTCCATGAATTATCTAGTTCTTTTTTGAGCCTTGTTATACTCTTGGCCTTCACAACATCCTCTGGCAAGGAGTTCCACAGGTTGACTGTGCATTGTTTGAAAAAAACAGCTGGCAGCTGAGCTTTCAGGGGAAAATGATCCATTTTCTGTGAAAACTCACTGCAAAAAAAAGGAAACATTTTAGTTTGGGTCAGCATTTCTCATGGGGAGGGGAGGAAATTCTATTTTCCAGCCGAGCTCTAGCTCAAACTATGGGCCTTTATCACGCCGCAGAACTCTCCCTCCTTCCAGTGCCCGGGGGCTGCAGGAGGTGCTGGCTCAGCCGCTCCTTTAAAGGCGGCTCGGCCGGGCAGGGCTCAGAGCGGCGTGGGAGGCGGTGCAGGCGGCGGGAAGTGGCGCGTCCCAGGGAGCCCAGCAGCACGATGAGCAGCGGGGATCACTAGTTCCTGCCCCCCTGGTAGGGGTCCGTGCCCCTGCAGGGCTGGGCTGGCCGCCCCAAGATTGGCCAGAATGCCGCCCCTTACAATGTGCCGCCCCAGGCACGTGCTTTCTCGTCTGGTGCCTGGAGCCGGCCCTGCTTCCGCCCCAGTTCTTATGCTGCTCGCCTGTGTGCAGCTTTGGTCCCTGCCCAGTAATTGCAGAATGGCGCGGGAAACTGTTTTTCAATGGGGCAAGGTCAAAGCAGCTCTGGCAAGGAGCCTGCAGCAGAGAACTGCTGAGTACCTCCAGGAAAGTTTCCTAGAGATCTCTGTGAAGGATTCCTGTTAAATCTCAGAGACCATCAACTTCCTGTTCCACCGTACTGCCTAGCACACAGAAACAAATCCAGCCTACTACAGTTATTCTTCGAGTGCTTGCTCATGTGTATTCCACAGTAGGTGTTCATATGCACCACGCACAGGTGCCAGAAGTTTTTCCCTTAGCAGTACCCATAGGAGGGGAGCACCGCTGCGACCCCTGGAGTGGCGCCTCTATATCGCGCTATAAGGGGAGCAGCGCGCTCCCCCCACCCTCAGTTCCTTCTGACCGCCAGTAAAGGTGCGTCGGAACTTCTTGCTCCTGCTCTGCTGCAGCCTTTCCATTTGATCTTAGTGGTACCTTTAGCTAGTTATTAGTAGCTCGTAGAAAGTAGTTGTCAGTTGTTAGAGTGGGCCCAGGGCTCGACAGGCCTCCCCGGTATGGCGCAGCTCTGACTCTGAAGACCGTGCTCTACCTCATTCGGCACGCAGCAACAGGTCCACTCGCAGCCCGCGTCCACCACCCTCGACGCCAGCCAGGTTATTGGGTTTAGTGCCATCTGGGCAGGAGTCTCAGGGTCCCTCCACGCCATGCAGCAGTGGGCGCAGGCAGTGAGATAGGCATAGAAGGCGTTCCTCTTCACAACGCAGCTATCGTAGCCGGTCTCGGTGCGACCGACGTCGATGCTCCCGCTCGAGCTCCTGCTCTGTCAGACATCACATACGTCACTGGCACCATGGCACCGCAGCTCTAGGCACCGAAGCGAATCTCGGAACAGTATTTCCGGGGACTACTGGTCCTCGACGTCGAGGTCCCAGTCCCGTGGAAGACGGCATCGTAGGCACTGCCGCTCCCACCGCTCCTATGGTACTGTTCGGTCGGTGGTGACCTCGGCCTCGGCACCCAGCCGCCCCTCGCTGGGCCGTACCAATCAGCTGGACCAGATAGTGCCACCTGGCCTGCAGCATGGACAGTGGCAATGGGCCCCACGGCAGGGACAATGGTGTCAATGGGCACTGTGGCTGCCGATGCCCACCCAGCCAGGAACCCGCTGCTCATTGTTGGCCTCGTTATCTAGGCCAAGGGACAAATCGACAGATCATGAGTTGTCAGCTCCGCGCCCGGACTCCGACCTGGGGGTTGATCCTCGGCACTGGCTGCGGCCCACAACCCCGTACCGGCCTCCTCTCCTGCACCAGATGATACCATCACGGCACCACCACCCTCCGCTCCACAGGAAGACTTCAGGGTGCATCAAGACCTGCTAAAGCGGGTGGTGTCGAGCCTCCAGCTGCAGGCCGAGGAGATGGAGGGCCCGTCCGATTCCCTCTTTAATGTACTGTCCCCCTCGGTGCCGGGCCGTGTGGCTTTACCCCTTCACCAAGGAGTAACCAACATCTCCAAGGCCCTGTGGTTAAGTCCTGCCTCTCTGGCCCCGATTTTCAAGAAGGCTGAGAGGAAGTATTTTGTGCCGGCCAAGAACCACGAATACCTCTACTCTCACCCAGCACCTAACTCTCTGTTGGTGGAATCAGTGAACCACTGGGAGCAGCAGGGCCAGCCCGCACCCACCCCCAAGAATAAAGACGCCAGGAGACTAGACTCTTTTGGTAGAAAACTTTACTCGTCTTTGAGTTTCCAGCTCAGGGTGGCCAACCATCAGGCCTTACTGAGCCGATATGATTTTAATTTATGGGAGTCCCTGCCAAAGTTCGAGCCACTCCTCTCAGAGCGGGATAGGAAGGACTTTAAGGCATTGGTGGACGAGGGGGCGACGGCAGCCAAAGCAGCCCTGCAGGCAGCGTCGGACGTGGCGGATACGGTGACTCTCTCGATGGCCTCCGTGATCTCCATGTGCAGGGTGTTGTGGCAACTCCTGTCCGGGCTTTCGGCGGAGGCCCAGTTCCTCATGCAGGATCTGCCGTGTCCGTGTTACAGGGCCAAGGTGTGTAGCTGACTTTTGCCCTCAGACTGCTTTCTCCCAGCCAGACATCTGGGATGAGGCCCATGTGTCTGTTGCTCCATTGCTTGACAGTTAAACCCATTCAGCTTCAATGGCTGGAAACGCTGATCCAGTGACTCTGCTGAAACTCCCAGCATCCCTGTGACACTTCAACACTCCCCTCAGAAATCCACTCCCTACCCCTCACTGTCACCCCGAGCACTCCCACAAACAGCAAGGTGCAAGAGTCACCAGGTTTCCCAGAAGCCATCTGTCACAGGAGGCTCTTTATACACAAATGTCAGAGGTGTTGCTCTGTGGAACCCTGGCGTAGCCCCGATCTTAGGGTCTCAGAGTGTCTGAGCACTGGAATGTATTTATCCTCCTGTCACTGCTGTGAGGCAGGGCAGGGCTATTATCCACCTGTGCCGAGTCTCAGAGACAGCCAATGGCTTGCCCATGGTCACACATGTCAGGGAATCAAACCCAGCTCTCTTGAGTCGCAGAGCAGTGCCCAGAGCACAGGCCCAGCCTTCCAGCCATCTGAGCAGTGACAGACCTAGCAGAAAGGGCCAGGACTGTGACTGCACAACAGCTCCACAGCTTTTTTCATGGCCAGTGGATGTTTAACCAGAGATGGGTCAGTGACAGGCCAAGTGTAATGGGAAACAACATTCACATCCCTTCTCTTTATTGACTGTATTAAGGGGTTTCAGAGAGGTAGCCGTGTTAGTCTGTATCAGCAAAAACTATGAGGAGGCCTTGTGGCATCTTAGAGACTAACATTTATTTGGGCATTAGTTTTCATAGGCTAACACCCACTTCATCAGATGCATGGAGTGGAACATCCAGTAGGGAGGTATAAATACACAGCATAAGAAAATATGGGAGTTGCCTTACCAAGTGGAGGGGTCAGTGCTAATGAGTTAATTCAATTAAGTTGGAGGTGGGCTATTCTCAACAGTTGACAAGAAGGAATGGAAATCACTTTTGTACTGTTAATGAGACCAAAGAAGGTGGCCCTTGCTAAATACTCACACCTTCTTGTCAACTGTTTGAAATGGGCCACCTTCCTGAGATCACTCCAGCCAGCCTACGGGTAATGGCTGCGATGACTCACCAGGACATGGGACCAGACCACATGATACTGGACTCTATTTTGCTACCTGTATTTTTCCATCTTGTTTGTATAAAGAGGAATTCTAAGGTCAGAACAGCCACCAATATGGCTCTTTATGGGCTAACATCCCACAGGTCCACTGGCTCTCTCACTTTATAAATGCTGAGGCCTGCTTTGGTCTCCTTCCCCCATTGCCCTGTCCTCCCTCACCAGCTCCTCTCCCTTTCCGCCAGGCCTTAGAACCAGTCAGAACCTCTTTTTACAGAGTGGAGATAAGTAGCTCATATTGTCTCAGATGTAAGGTCCATGATGGAATTGGTGGCCCTGGCCATGGCCCATGTTCTTCTTCTCTCATGTCACCAGCACTGGAGCTGGGTGAGGAACTGACCCTTCACTTGAAGAATGCCCTGATTATCTTTGCACGAAGGTGTTTGCTTTTCACGCTGTAAACTATTGGATTCATCACGGGTGGGACCAGCAGTGTGATGTAGCCCAGGAGAATTTGAAGCAAGGGAGAATAGCCCTTCCCGAATCTATGTAACACAGACAAGCTGATCTCTGGTGTGTAGAAGACCACGACAGCACAGAGGTGGGCGACACAAGTGTTCAGGGCCCTGAGGCACTCTGTGTGAGACGTGATGCTCAGCACTGTTTTGAGAATCATCACATAAGAGAGGAAGATGAGCAGCGAGTCCAATCCCATCGTTAAGACTTTAACAAACAAGCCGTAGACGTTGTTGACTGTGATATCTGAACAAGCCATCTTCATGACCTCCTGGTGCAGGCAGTAGGAATGGGAGAGAACATTGGTTTGACAGTATCGGAACCGTTTCAGGAGAAGGGGGAGTGGGACTACTACAACCACCCCTCTTAGCACACACACCAGTCCCATCTTGGCTATTCTCGGCAGGGTTAAGATGGAAGCATATCTCAGTGGTTCATGAATTGCGATGAAGCGGTCAAAGGCCATCAACAAGAGCACAGAGGATTCAGTGCATTGAAGAAAGTGGATGAAGAAGAGCTGGGCTAAACAGGCATTGAGGCTGATTTCCCTAGAGTTAAACAAGTATATGCCCAGTATCGTCGGTATGGTGGCTATCGATAAGCCAAGATCTGTGATGGCCAGCATGGAAAGGAAAATGTACATGGGCTCATGAAGGCTTGGATCTGTTTTTATAATGAACAAAATGACTGAATTTCCTACTATCGAAATAACATACATTAAGCAGAAGGGGATAGAGATCCAGAGATGGATGTCTTCTTGCCCAGGTATCCCAGTGAGAATGAACACTGCAAAGCTGAATTTGGTGTCATTGACAGCTGACATAATGTACTGAGCAGGTCCGAGGAGTATTGATCTTTCTTTCCTGAAAGGAAAAAGAACAGGAGACTAGATGATATTTACCTAGACATCTTTCTGCTCTGAGTGCAAGTCTAGAGACTCCCAGGAACTCAAGCAAGATCAGAAAAACATAGTCTTGGATTTATACCATCAATAAGAAGATAGACACTGCCAGACTGGATCTCATCTGCAGTCCACTATCCAGTGGCCAGTTCCAGATGTTTTGGACGTAGGTGGAGAAAGCCCTGCAATAGGCAGCTATGAGATGACCTGCTCCCAGGGAACATTTCCCACTGACACCCACTAATGAGATATATTTTGTGATGTAAATCAGGAAGGTTTAGAGCCCTTCCGAGACTTTTTGACACCATCCTCACTACAGTAATTAGATTTTCTGTTTACTCATATAAACATCCAGTCCCTCTTTGAATCCTTCTAAACTCTTGGCCCCCTTGATATCTTGTGTCTGGGAATTCTGCAGCCTACGTAAGCACTGTGTTATTTTACAATTGTGACCTTCACACAGACACACTTTCTGGCCCTCCACTTCAGTGTGGCCCATTGTATCATGACATGTGTACAAAAAATGCAAGTGCATGGTGAAAAAGGTCATTGTATTTATCTGTCCTGCATTGAAGCTATTTGTTAATGTGTTTCATTGCCTCATTATATACATTTTTTTTTTATTTTCTCCACTCCTGAGAGTCCAAATTATTCCACTGCCTCATTGCAGCACATGGGATAAATTCTAGGGGCTAGGTTCTTAATTCAATAACAGTGACTTTAAATGTGTCACTACAGATTTACAGGTATAAATTCAATCAGAACCAGGCTAAATTAGCAAATGCTCCCTGTGATACACTCTGACCCCAAGAATCTCTCCAGGAGGAACTGAAGTGCTTTGTTGGCCAGTGTTGTCTGAATCCACAGAGTTAGATGATCCCACAGGCTTCTCTTCATCCTCACAGGACCTGCAACCTCTCCTCATGCAATGGTCTGTAGATATCTGGCAAGGTACAAGCTGATAACAGACAGTTATTTAAGCTGAGCTGGGGTGGGGTTGGCATAAAAAATGGATGAATATACAAACACTATGTTTGCATTAATATACAGTTGACTGTGCAAGTTACTTCACCCATGCTCATGTAATAGGTGATAGATGTAAGTTACATACAACCCCTATTACACTCCCCTTTCCTGCACCTCAGCTCCACTCTTTGCTGAAACACAGACCTGCGGTTCTGGTCACTCAGGACTTTTTGGGAAATCTTGCACAGGTATTGCAGAGGGACTGGTTCATGACCCTGAATGTTAGTGTTAGAAACAGCTACTGGTCAGTTACCAGGTGACAGTATCATACAACTATTCACTGAACAAAGAGTTAATAGCACAAACCCATTGCAAACAGTATGTGGAGTACTTCTAAAATACTTTCTAAAGCGAAAGCCATTAAGCAGTAAAGTTACCACTGCTCCTTCCTGTAGAGATTCCAACAACTCTTCTGCTGGCTTTCGATATACCTGTACATGCATGTCATGAAAGTTTGGTTTGTAATATTTGTATTACAATGAAAAGTTTTGAGATAACATTTACACATCTGTACTCTAGCACACACGTTAACCCATTCTTTCCCTTCCAATATTCTTTCAGTGATGATTTCATAGGTTAGATCGTAGTGTCTCAGCCCTCATTCGGTCACTTGTCAGCAAACAAAAGTTTAGTAGTTCCTCTGTCCCGGGTTAATAGCTGACTGGTTCTCCTCAGGTTCTGTTCTATCAGTCTGTAGCCTGTAGCTGGAGTGGTAACAGGCATTGGGATCAGGATATAAAATATTCATTCCCTCTCAGTCTTTAATACATAGTAACCCCTGCACCTGTTACTCAGATATGATGAGGGTTTGCAGGAAGTGGATTTCAAAGTCAAAAACATGAGTATTCATGGAAATGGAACTTCATTTCACATATGAAAGTAACCTATTGCTCTCTCTGTCTCTCTCTCTCTGTCTCTCTGACTGCCTATGTCATGTATTCATAAAATGCGTAGAACCCGGGAACGATATTGTGACAGACATGGAGCTGAGCTGCCATAACGAATGTGTATGATAAACCCAGTTCTTCAGATGTTTCCTGTAGAGCTATATTGGGTTAACTATTGGGATGTTTATGGTATGGCTGTATTGTATTAAATCAGTATGGCTCTTAGTTTAACAGCAGGCTGCTGGAATACAAGCAGGAAGGGAAGTAACAGCTGAAGAAAAGCCATCGCTCACTCAGCAATTCAGGGAGGCTGAGAGACAACACCGGAGCTACAAGCTGGGAAGAGCCTATTTCCAGGCTCCAGCCACGTTACACAGCTTGTTTTGCCAGCGCTGGGAGTCTGTCCAGAGCTGGGGCAGCTGTTGCTGAGAAGCTCTTCAGACTGACAGGCACACACCAGCTGGGGAAGGCTGAAGGCCCTCAGCTTGCCTGGGTCCCCGGGGAGTGGGAGGGTTTGGAGGTCAGAGACAGGTACAGACTGCTGTTTGAAAACGATCTTATTCTCCCATGTTACGCTGTATTCCTACTGTTACCGTATTTTGGTTCAAGAAGACTGGCTGATCACTTGTCTCATCACTACTCTGAGATTCCTAGAGGGAAGAACTACAGGTGCCAAACTCACTCGAACCTGCTGGGCAGGTACAGTCGACCACAGTGTGCTGTAGCCCAGGGCCCAGTCTGAGGGTGGGAGGATCACAGGATTCCACCCCATGAGAGGGAAGGTTACGAGGTCTGACCTCTGGCACTCAGAGACCAGACAAGGGGTAGAAATGCCAGTAGCCCTGTAACTCTGAGGTGTATCTACAGGACAGAGATTGTAGAGCCCTCATTCTGTCATCAGGAAACAGAAATATGGCCTATCAGACTTGTTACTGCAGAACAATGCAGATCTGAATTCCTGCATTCATAATCGAGCCGGAGAATAAAATTGTTGAAAATTCATTTGTTGATTGAATTTCCCGGAGCAAATAAAGTTGAGGTGATTTGGGAACTAGTCACTGATATTCTGTGGGGTCTCCTCTCGCTCAGCCGCTGTCAGGATGGAGCCCAGAGCACACAGCACCTCTAGAAATGGGAGCCCTTGAGAAATCCTGACTCCGGCCATTGGGGTTTTAACACTCCGAGATTGTTTTGAATCTCTTCGTAGCTTAAATAACTGAGTGTGCAGCATAGGCACATATAGGGGAGGGGTTCCCAAGCTACCTAGTGCTGCCTGCCCTCCAGCCCCATCACTCATTTACCCCAAGAGCCCAGTTTAGTCCCGTGCTGCAGCACAAAACATCTGCAAATGTAACCAGCTTGCAGCCTTTCCCCTTCTCTTCGCATTTTAAAGCTAGTGAAACCTGCCAACGTACCCAATTCCTGCTAGAAGGGGAGCCGCTGACACCAGAGGTCTTCACCCTAAAGGACAAGGAGTCATCAGAGAGGTTGCATGGGCAGCAGGCAGTGTCTGTTCAGACAGGGAGGCAACTGTCTTTATGAAGCATGTTTGTACATTTCCTTGGGGGCCACTTGGCCATCAGGGAACCTCAGCTGCTTGGCTTCGTGTGCACCAGCTTTAACCCCCATCACAGCCAATGGCAAACTGCAGGAGGCCAAATCACAGGGGATGTGGGGTGATGCTGCCCATCTGGACTGCAGTGCCAAGCCCTGCTGCAGGCTCTATTCCTGGAATCCGGGTTTGTCATTGTTGTTCCTATGGTTCTGATTAGTCACAGGGCTACCTCGAGGGCAACCGAGTGGTAACAATGATGCTGTCACAACTGTGATGTTGATTAAATGAAATAAAATAAAATAGAAAAATAACAATAATAATAATAATATAGTACCAGATTTCTCCCCGGCAGCCCCTTTTCCTGCATTACAAACCCAGGGTGCAGGCCAGGGAAGGGAGATTCCACAAGGCTCCGTACATGGAAATTTGCCTTGGATTATTCCAGTAGAAGGTTCTCTTCTCTTTACCCTGAGGAATGAAAAGAGGTACCCAGGATCCAGACATCCCCATAGTTAGGCACAGATCTCAGTGATCCACTGGTAGCTTGGCCCATCCACCCACAATCTCTGAGCCTCCACAACTGCTCTAGGACCCTCTCCAGCTCCCTGCTAGCACAGGTTCATCAGAGATGTGCTACCAGGGCCTGACACAGCAGCCACTGCCTGTAGGATTTGCCAAAGGGATGTTGTACAGGGTGGAGGGGGCTGCACAGAGATGGGAACGTGGGTTAAAGTAGCTGATGGACATAATACCCCAGCCCTAGACTGGTCGGGAGATTTCCATAATCGGAGTGCAGCCATAGACTCCGTCAGGGCCACCTTCATTGATGTTGTGAGGGAGAGGCAGATGAAAAGCCTCCAATTTCTCTTGGGGATCCAGGCCGCTACATCTGTGTAGTATAGTCACAACTGAGGTTTCAGAGAAAAATTATCAGTTTTCTATGAAACTCACCCCAAATATGGATGAAGAGGAAACATTTCAGTTTGGCTCAACATTTTCTGTGGAGGGAAATAAATTCAATTTTCCAGCTCAGCTCTGGCTCAGTCCATGAGCCTCTCTCTCATGCTACAGGTCCACACCCCTAGGTGGCAGCACTAACCCCCCTCATCAACCTCCCACACTCAGCAGGCCCTGGACCTCTGCAGGGTGGCTTTACCAGCTATAACACAGGGATCCCCTGGAAAGGCTTGTCTGCAGCAACCCATGCATCAGTGAAATGATTTAGGAACATAAGAGCGGCCATATTGGATCAAACCAATGGTCCATCTAGTCTAATGTCCTCTCTTCTGACAGCGACCCATGCAGATACTTTTGAGGAAATGAACTAAACAAGGCAATTATCGAGTCATCCATCCCCTGTCATCTGCTCTCAGTTTCTGTCAGTCAGGTTCAGAGACACCCAGGGCATGGGGCTGCATCCCTGACCATCTTGGCTAATAGCCATTGATTGACCT